GTTAACGGTATCTTCGACCCATGCTAAAAATGCTGTTGGTGATAAAGTTGAATTTATATACAACTTCGAACTCTATAGACCCGTGCAAAGTATACAGATTTGACGGAGACGAGGTGAGGCATTAAAGTTGAGCGAATCGACAGAACTCGGGACACCGTGGAGGAAGGATGCTACACAGAAAGTTCAGGCACCTAGGTGCTACTTACTAACAAAAGAAACCCTGCTAAAACCAGAGCTGCATCTTACAGAGTTGACGACAATTTTCACGTCGTCCACTGGTTTTATAGAACACGCTAAAGTCGTCGAGTCCACTCCGGCTTGTTGAATGTGATGGCTGTAGCTTTCACACTGTGAGGGGCGTGTTTGCCTCTGTGCTTTCTTTACAGACCCAAAACCCAAAAATAAGATAAATAAATAAAACCCGCACTACACCTTTTTTTCTTTGGAAGTTGACGACCGCCATGGACTTAGCGTTCTTTTGTGAAGGCTGTATTTCTCTTACCGACCAACTGAATGACAAAATGCAATGAGAAGGAAGTGACGCCATGCACTCGCGAGTGAGGTCACAGAATGCATTTGATTGTTTGCATTGTGAGTGTCTGCCCAATTTGCCTTTAGACATTTTTTGTCTCCGGAAGGCCAACGAGCATCAAATGGTGCTCATTGCCAGGACCTTCTTTTGTGCCTTGGCAATAGTCAATAGCCACCCATTTTGCGAAAGCGCGACAATCTCATCTGAATGCTCACGACTCGGAACGCGGCGAGAGCAGCGCGGTCGATCAAATCTCCCTGTTTGACACACTTTCACTTCCACCTCCACTCCCACTCCCACTCCTACTCCCACTCCCACTCCCACTCCCACTCCCACTCCCACTCCCACTCCCACTCCCACTCCCACTCCCACTCCCACTCCCACTCCCACTCCCACTCTCACTCACACTCACACTCACACTCACACTCACACTCACACTCACACTCACACTCACACTCACCCGTTTCTACAATTATTCTTGTTCTTGGACGGCAAGTGCTCCACTGCGACTTATGGCACCTTTGCGACTTATGGCACCTTTTCATTCCGTAACGAACCGTCGAGGAGGAACGATACGGTACATGAAATCGGTAAACGAAGTCATATTAGAGTGAGAAGGGTACTTGCTCATTTGCAAACATATGCTGCATGGATCCACGAACAGAACTTATCCCAAGCGCGTGCTGATAGTAATTTTCTCGGGCACGTCGACCGTGGAAGCACCCACGACTCTCACGTCAGGTGCGCTCAAAGTCACTCGTTCCGATGGCATTATCCAGTTCGCCAACACGTCTTCCAACTATAGCAGCGATTCGCGTCGTTTCATCTTGTCGTCCGATGCCGCCTTCGCTGCGCAGGTGACATTTAACCAGAGCACTCGCGGCCTCTGCCACTCCAGCGACAGTGCCTTCATGTCAACCACCTACGGAACGGCAAGCACCTTCTACTTCCGCACGAGCAAAGACGGCGTCTCGTCGGCGCAAAGAGCCACTTTTTGATCAGTGGCAAGCGGCACTGGTGACGTGACATGCGCACCGAGCGAAGGCTACACAGTGCTCCACTCATGCCTATCTGTCCCTTGGCAGCACCAATTCTTGCGGAACAAGTGTGACAGTCAGCAATGTCTAAGACTCTGTCCGTGGTAATATAGATGCCATTGTATCTGCAGCGGAGCATAAAAATGTGTGTACGAAGAGATGAAGTTTGTGCAGGAAAGTGATGTTTGTACATCGTTCTCTTCGCGCCCGTTCCTCGTCACACAAAGGCAGCATTGTAACACGGAGAGCTCGAATGTGTCTGTGCCAATGTGTCTGCGAAGCAACCATTCTATAGACAACATGTATCATGCATTAGACCCTGAAGGAGAGGTCGCGCTTGTCCTCAAGCATCACAACAGGTATAACGGTCATCAACTGAAAGGGGTGAGTGGCGGTCTTAATTATAAGCATCTGAAAGTAACAAATTTCCTTGGCCATTATATGTGGTCTTGCATGAAGAGGTAACGTGGCCCTGCTGTCTCCACAAGTATCTCAGTGAAGTTGAGTTAGCCGTACAGATGTAGCTCACCTTCAGCAAGACGGGAAGACACTATGCTGATTTGTCTAACACATGTCAAGCATTTAAAGGAGCTGTCTGCAACAGTGAAACTTTGCAGCCACGTTCAATCGCTTCTGCCTTCAAGCTTTCGATTAAAATTTTGATGAATGTCAATCAAGTAAACGAAGAGATTCGGAAAATACATCAACACCAAACAACACTCAAAGACAGGCTGTCTCCGGAAATTGAAAAGATATCTAGCACCGAGTGCTAGATACACAAGATTTTGGACAAGTGTTTTTCTTAAACTCTGTGGTTGCTCAAAGTTGCATTTCGTCTACCTCAGAGAGTGTGTTCAATTCAATACGCTACCGGAGAATTGTTTCGGGTAGGAAGAAGCTGTAATATCAATTATTCACAGTTATTAATCAGTCTGCTGTATAGTATCTAAGAACCAATTCGTTGGCCAGAATCTAAATCGAAAGCTCTGCGTCACCGGAAAGATGGTCGAACTTTGGCAGTCTAGATATTTTCAAGAGTGAGTAGAGATTTTCAAGGGGAGCCCTACTGTATTTTGGCACGTCTGGTGGAAATCATTGTTCCCAGTTGTTCCCATTGTTCACATTGTTCCCATTGTTCCCATTGTTCCCGTTGTTCCCGTTGTTCCCATTGTTCCCATTGCTCCCATTGTTTCCAATGCTCCCATTGTTCCCATTGCTCCCATTGTTCCCATTGTTCCCATTGTTCCCATTGTTCCCATTGCTTCCATTGTTCCCATTGCTCTCGTACTAATCTTCGTATTGTCGTTTCCATCGTTCTCGCTGTGTTGACACAACTTGCAATGTACACGACCAAAGCTATGTCCCACAGCACATAACAGATGGCTTCTGGACTGGACCTCTGCAAAGTCATGACGAAGCTTATCGGTTGATTGGAGCCAGGACGCATTTGTGGCGCTTGTCGGAGACGAAAATGTTGAAGTACCACTCATGCCTAAGTCAGCTGCAGTAGATAAAATTATTGCATCTTGAAAGAATTTGCTGACAAGAGAATAGAGCAGAGTGTGACGGTTTGTAAGGTGCCATAACTGACGGCTGCAGCGTGCCTGGTTGTCGGTAATCAAAGAATGAATATCGCGCCAAGGCTCGAAGAATTTAGGTCGTACTCGTATCACGGAGACTTCTTAAGAAGCCCACGGGGCCACAGGGGCATTCTCCGAGCCTGCCCTTACCCTAGCACAAATAATGGCAACGCATCCACTTTGCATGAATCCTTGGCTAAGACCATTTCAAGTGGAGTAAGAAAGGAGGAGCCGGCGGCTGAAATTAAAAGAAAAGGATAATGAGCGGCCCCATCGACATCAAAACGTCCGACGAAACCGACGAAGCTACTCCACGAATCAATCTCCGCCTGTTCAGTGGATCTGCTTGATGCGCTGAACCATATCCATATGATTTGCCATAATGGACGAGAGCATGGCGAAGGTAATGGTGTCGATCTTACTGACATTGATTAGCTCTGCGCGCTCGAGAATCGAGATTCCAAACAGGTGCGCTACGATGAAAAACTTTCTTGCTCGCTCGGCGCGTTTTCGAAGTCCTGCGTAATTTGCAGGCTCACTTCGTTGATTCTGCAAGATCTTTAGTAGAGCTGGATACGCTTCGTCGTGGAAGCCCTTGCTTGCGACGTAATCGAGCGAGCTTGTTGCGGACGACACGATCAAATTCGCGTAAGCATGTCCAAATTCGAAATACCTCGAATTTACGTCTTGAGATGCGCCGTAATGCAGACTCTCAGCATGACCAAGACTCCGCAAGGCAAGAGAGACACGGCTTGACCTATCTAAGCTCTGAGAAGAATGTTCAAAGAGGTCGTTCGTGGACATGACAGTCTGCGTCCAGTCTTCTCTCCTCATTCCCGACGCAGAGTACTGTGCGACTTGTGTTCGTGGCTTGTCCAACAATTCACCCATGAGTTGCTGAAGCCGTCGCTCATGGCGCTCAGCAAGACCTTTTTTCTCTGAGGCTGGAAGCTTCGATGGTCGGCGAGCTTTGTCATCGGTGTCTTTTGTGATGTTTTTCACCTGAATAGAGAGTCAATGGTGACTGCGATTTTTAAACTGAAGAAAGCTTTTCCTCCAACTCACCACAAATTCCTTTCCTCGAAAAGAGAAGAAGAGGTCTGGCGCTTTGTCCAAGCTTTGAAGTTCTGCCCGGGCGAGTGCCTCAAGGAACGCTCGATAAATGATTGCTACGTGAGTCGGATCATTCTTCCCTTCTCCTGGATCCATATACTCTCTGGCCGATTGAACGAAGTTCTCGATCCCTGAAACCCGTAAAAGCTCGGATTCCGTGGGTAGAGCGAGCTCGATTGGGGTGCCTGACATCGATAACCTGTCGAGCCTGCTGAAGTGAAGATGATCGAGATCTTAGACCACCGTGAGCCTTTGTCCTCTATTATAGCCAGGTGCCATCATACAAAGGGAACAATCTGGACAAAGGGATCTGAGTCTTCAACAGTCCCCAGATCTGAATTTGAATCATTTCGCGTTTTGTTTCTGAAATGTATCTAATAACACAAAAACGAAGGTCAAGTTTTGAGGTTGTACACTTTGTCAAACACTGCAAGCGTGAGAGGCAGTATAGACAGCAGTTCTCCGCTCAAAGGTACCAGAGCTGAAAATCGCAAGGTCTTACGCTGCTCGACAGCCGGCGTCTTTTCTTGTCAGCTGCAAGTCGCGGAGAGCACGTGACTACAAGGTGTCACGCCCTGTTCAGATCAGCCCCTCATCACGATGAGCAAATCGTCCTACCTAAAAATGGTTTTCCGCCCGACGTAGATTCAGAATGTGGCGCAGGGTTAGACTGGCTCATTTTAAGACCCATTTGTTTAGCGTACTACCTTGTCCTCGTAACATCATGAACATTGGCACCAGCATGAACATTGGCACATTGCAAGCGAAACCTCTCTACCTCGGTCGTCGTCTGCTGGGCGAAGGAGGTTTCGGCAAAGTCTACGAAGTAGAGCGAGCTTCGGACAAGAAGGTGCGTTTAATGTGCAACAAACAAGTCTGAAACGAGTTTCGCTCATCCAGAGAAATCATAGCTTTTCGCTCTGAAGATCGTCACGGTCAGCACCAATGCCGAGCAACGAAAGATTGCTGCTCAAGAAGCAGCACTTCACTCGAAACTGGCACACCGCAACGTCATCGCTTTACTCGAATATTGGGAAATCGAACGCTCATTGCATCTTCTTATGGACCTGGGGACTTATGGGGACCTAGAAATGTATCTGGCTCAGAGGAACAAGTCTACGTAAGTCCTGTTTCTCTGTTATTCGATCATTAGGCTGAGAAAGATGGTCGATTGGTGAGTGACAGCATTGAGCTCCGACGAAATCTCTTTGCACAAGTCTGTGCTGGATTACATTACCTTCATGAAGGTCAGGACAACCAAGTGTCGGTGATTCATCGCGACTTGAAACCCTCCAATGGTAAGCAGATAATTGATTGTATGCCTGTCATACAACGCATCGTAGGATGTGGCGAAGACAGTGATGCAGATAAATGAAGCTCACAGATTAAACTTACCAGTCCTGATCGACCACAATTTCCGTGCAAAAATCGCCGACTTTGGCTTGGCAATCGTACGTGACAAACACGCGAAAGGACATTGGGGCATCGCAGGTGTAAGCACAGAGGTCCCTCATCTTATCGTACCATGCAACCGTGCTTACTGCATAGGTGCTTCATTCTTTACCTCAATGCAGACGCCTGGCTTCAGATCGCCAGTGAGTGGAGAATCTGTGCTTGAGACACACGAGTTGTGGCTGTTGATCCTGTCCCTACCCTCTTCTGTGGGCAACAGGAAATGCTGAGAGGCGAAAAATACGGCGTCAAAAGCGACTTGTGGTCTCTCGGATGCCTTTTCTTTCAAATTCTGACAGGAAAGTGAGTGCCGTAGACTTGCTGAGGATATCAATATCTCACATAATTCTCTTTTGATAGACACCTGTTTGATGAAGGTGGTGTCAACAGAGATCAAAATATTTTACGGAGTCGTAGCTTGGCCGCTCTCGCCGATCTAAACCTTCCTGAGAAAAACGTGGTCAACAGTCTTCTTCAAGCTGTGGTGAGCTCTTGTACGGCTCTCAATGAAATTGCATTGAGACACTTACCATCTTCTTTGTTCGTCACCGTCACATCTGCTTCTGCTGAAACAGCCATTACAGAGGCTGTCCTCGGCCCAGCTACTTGCCAATTCTGCTGTCATAGATTGGCTTGCAGACACGCCCCTTCGGTGAGTTCACCCTTTTCGACCAAATATATGCTTCTAATGCAGCCCATCGGAAGTCTTGATGATGTGCATCGAGAGAACACTCGGGTCGATTCCGCATCTCCCGTCGGACCGCCTGAGGAGACGAAAAAAAAACCTGTTCGTCACAAACTCGTGAGGCACCCGAGCCTCTCGCCTCTTTTACCCTTTGTCACTGCTGAGACCTCCGACGAAAGGTGCGTGCACTTCTCTATCTACACCTCCCCCGACTGCGACTCATCTCATCTTTCTTTAGGCAAAAGGTTGTGCATTTCCGAAAATAAAAAATCGGCCCATGATCAACTCATCGGAAATTGGAGCAATCAAGGTGCTGTCAAACCCGCAGATTTCCCAATTTCTTCGATATTTCGACTCGATGTAGCACAGACGCAGTGCAGAGAGGCCGGGCATGATGTAACGAACTGTGTGAAGTGTGCACTTTGACACGCTACCTGTTCTACGTTGTAAATCTCTCCTACCACTCTTGCTCTTGTAACAACGAAGTGATTCTTCGAATCTCGACCTGATTGAAGCCGTGCAAGCCCCGAAAGACGGCTGTGAGAGAGCCGCATGTCTGACTAAGCCCAAGAATGCGCAAAGTTGAGCAATGCGATCACAGCGCAGCATTTGTAATGGTAAGCAGTCATGATTTACGAGTCGTAATTGCATTGAGCAACTACTCTACTCCTTCACAAATATCCCGGATAACAATTCGCTCCGATCAATGTACGAGGGAAAAGCTTGGGTATCATCAATCACGAAGCGGAATTCAGTCACTCGAATATTTCATGTATGTCAAAGAGCTTAGGCTCTGAATCGGTGGATTAGTCTCGCTATCCATGGTACATCTTCGGTCGTGCATCGCGTTCATACAAGCAGAGGCCTGGCTTCATTCTCATTCTGCACGTATAATAAGCCCTTGAGGGGCTTGATGAGGACTGTAAGCCTCCTAAGGATGGAGACTGCAGCCAGCGATTGCAGTCGAACCGTGAAGGACACGCTCAGGTAAGATTGAAGGTTGGTCCAATGGCAAAGAGAAACGTTTGCAACCGCATTCGAAGATGGAGGTCAATAGAGGAAATGAAGAAATAATGAAATTACACTAATACCAAGTGATACTTAGAGACGAGCTGTCTTTGGGACTTAAATGTTAAACACCGAATGCTAGATACACGGCAATAACGACAAAGCTCTTCCTTGATTCTCGTTATCGCTCGAATTAATTGTTTCTTGTCTACTTTAAAGAGTGATCGACCCGATACGCTACCAGCATCATGGTTCGTGAAGGAATCAGCTGTAGTGCCAATGGTGCACATTCATTTTTCTGCTTGCTGTGCAGTGCTTGAAGGAACAATTGGTAGGCTAGAGCCTAGGTCGAGGGCTCTTCTTCATCAAAAAGATGATCAGATCCACTTTGCCGAAGAGTCGAGATTAGTGCAAGGGAGTCGCCCTCCTTCCTTTTTTTTTTTTTTTTTTTTTTTTTTTTTT